GTTACAGACACTTTTTACAACCAACTTTATGCAAAAATATGGACTTTTTATGTGGTGCTTAAGGCAAACGGTCACTGATCCACCAACTCAAGCTTGAAATCAGTTTTCCTAGATCTAAAACAGTTAGAAAAAAGAAAAAATATTCATTTAAAAAGAGGATGGCAGGGGAGGGGTATTTGTATACACAAGGAGGGCAATGCGCACTACCTGAAGGATGGACATATTTGAAACACGGACTTTGGTGGCGGGGGGGAACCAAGGGCAACACACATAACCTAAACATATGTACACCCATAATTTGCTGAAATAAAAAAAAAAAAAACACACACACAAAAAAAATAAAAAAATAAAAAGAGGATGGACCATCAATCATATGTCTTTAAACTATTCTTAATTACTGCATAATTAATTGAGAAGACAGTAAACATTTTTTAAACAGATTTTAAAAAGTTTATATATCCATAAATTAAACAAAAGTGTAAATTTGCACTAAAAATTCTAAAAGCCAACAGAAACTGTATTCCACCTTTTTAATATTATTTATTATTTTCATTCATACAAGTAAACAAATATTTGTTGATCTGGGGTAAAACAATGAGTAAGATAAATGCAGCCTTTTTCTCAAAATATTTTCATTGCATTTGATCTTTCAAATATATCACATAGAAGCTAGTTCTGTGATTAATTCCATAAAAATATTATAGAAAACATATTAAGTATTAAATAACTAATATTAAATAATGTTTGATTATATTACGTAGGTAAAGCTATGGAAGTGTTTCAGATGGGAGATGCTAAAGCTCCTCTCTTTTTGCAAAAATGAGCTAGCTTTTCACAGTCATTATTCTGTCCAAGTTGAAGATTTATTAATAAAAATGTGACCAGGGCCCACCTTCCTACCACCCTTGCCCCCATTTCTCATTTCTGTTGACATTTCTAAGATCCAAAGAGGGTCTGAACAGTTGGCAAATGCCGGCTACCAGGCTTGGCTCTGTATCGGAATCTCTACCAGACCCCAAAGGGCACCTTCCTTTTACACAGCAAGTGTTAAGGACTGATAAAATTTAAGTTGTGCAATTTACAAATACATGAAATAGAGTCGAGTTAAATAATTTACAAAGGCACTCTGTCTCGCTGCAGCAAATACTTAGGTAGCTTTTGACTGAAGAAATGAAATTGTAATTAGAGATGAGAATGAAAACCCTTTCCTCCGCCTACATTACCAACTGGCCCTAAAGTGCTTAACTGCCAAGAGGAAGACAGATACAAGTGACATAACAACGATCATTACAGTCCCCCAGCGGCTGGATGTGCAGTGGGAAGGTGTTCTCTGTCACTGGCTACTTGGAAAATCCTTGCCTTCCCTTTGTGTCAATCAATAAATCCATACGTGCATATTCTAGAATTACTGGATTGAGTATTTATCTTTAAAAACTCCTCCAGAACTCATAACGATCAGGTCTTATAGTTCAATTTTTAAAAGAGCACTGATTTTTAAAGTATGCTTTCAAACGAAGTAAACTATTTCCTGCTGTTTTCCCACGTCAGTTAATTTTTTCATACCTGTTACTCAACATGTAGTAAAAATATTGTGAAACATGCAACTTGTTTTCCCTTCGTTAGAATTCCTAATTTCAGCTACTACAGCTCCTTCAAATATCTTTGTCATCTAGAAATGTCCTTACTGTCACCTTGGTGGAGGTGGGGGCAGGAGGGATAAGGGAAAATTATATTTTCCTAATGTTGCTTGATCAATATGATATTTAACATTCACTTAAATCATTCTGTTTTTCCAGGAAGCAAAGCATTTACTGAAACACTGTTTAATGATCTCAATGGCTAATGCTGTGTAGTGACAAGTGTTTTTCTTTTTTGTTTCCTCATATTTTCAACATCTCTTTGTTATCTGTCATGTGTTTCCCAAGCAAGCTTAACCCAGATGCCATGGTTAAAAACATTTTAGATGACAAAAGACAAAATAAATTAATGGAGAGCTACTTACTGTTTGAACAATGAAGAGGATTGTTCCACAGAGACGAATGAATTTGTTAAATCGAAGTTCTAAGTACTGTCTCCAAAAAAGGAAAGATAGTTATTATGTGAATCCTCTGGACATTTTTTTTTATCATTGCCTTAAGAAGAGTTAGAAATTTAAGGCAACTTTATAACTGATATGTAGTTTCTATTTTTATGTTACTATTATTTTTATTACATACAGCAAAATTGACTCTAGTTTTAGAGTACAGTTCAATGGGTTTTAACACATATATAGGTCCATGTAACCCCCGTCACCATCAGGACACAAAACAGTTCCATCACCCCAGAAAACTCCCTTATGCCTCTCGTTGGTGTTCAAGCCCTCCTCCCAGCCTCAAACCCTAGCGATCACTGATCTTTTTTCCTTCCCTAGTTTGGCCTTTTCCAGAATATCATACAAATAAAATTACATTCTATATTTTTAGGGTGAACAATCTGTTGTTCTCCTCTTTTTTTGGTATCTACTCCTTACATTTCCCTTGACTCGCTTGGGTAACCAACCCTTTGTACTTGATTGCAGGCAATTGTGATGAAGTTGTCAATCAAGGTGCCCTGTCTTTATTGACCAAGAGGAAGTCACATGACACCAGCTCAGCCAATCAGCTTCTCTCCCAACAGGTATTTGAATCTCAGAGGCAAGATACAAGAAAATGACAAGAGCAGACTGATCCTGACAGAGTGGATTCTGTCCTTTCCAAGGCCTTCTTATTCAGCTTTTCGATCTGTTCTATGAGCTATCTGAATGTCCTTCCACCTTTTTTTTCTTTTTTCACTTAAATCACCCAAGTCAGTTTCTGTTCAGAGACAATGATTCTGCCAATTTCTCTCACTCTCCTTGAAATCTGCTATATCTTGTAATACGGCCTGTTTGCCTCCTACATTATATAATATACCATACTTTTAACATACAGGGTTAGAATCGTACAATTTCCGGGCTGAGGTCTAAGACAGTCTGTAACTTGAATATTATTACTAAGAAGTTTAAAGCTAACAACAGTCTTTTCATATAGCAGAAAAAAAGAAGGAAAAACTGACATTAGGTAATAATCAGAGGAAACAACATCAGAAATTTTTGCTCCATAATCATAGCTAACACGGAGCATTTGCTGTGTGCATCTTCCCAACAACTCTACGAGGCAGGTACTATGCATAAGCTTATCTTAGAGATGAGGACGCTGGGACTCAGAGAGAATACCATGTTTGCAACCTAATAATTGGCAGGACCACAACACAAATATAAAATCTTCGATGCCAAAATCCATGCACATAACCACATTATTACACATACATAAATAAACAACCTGACCACATGTTTAAGACTCAGTAAGTGAGTGGATGGCACTGGCACATAGTAGGGCCTCCAAAAATCACTGATGGGTGACAAATACACAACTCAGCATAGCTCATTGGAGGAAGAGTTTGAGGCAATCACTGTCCAAATCTAAGGTTTCTTCTCTTTAAAATGAGCATAGTAATAATTCTTTTCCCTCTTAATGTAGGGTTTGGAGACTAAATGAATGGGAAAATGTCATAACCTGTTCATTCAAAAGTAAAATTTTAAGAAGTTAGTGGTGTCCAAATCCATGTGCCTCAAGAAACTTGAATCTGAGTGAATTACATATGTCAAAATCATTCAAGTATATTTTGGAAGACTTTTTAGAAAACTAGAGAAGTTTCCTAAGCCTGGAAACAGGGCAGTGTTATTTCTTCAGAGTTCTTTTAGTAAACCTCTATAAACTCCTCAACACATGAATGAACATGAATAGACAAGTCTTTGCCTTCTAGGTACAAGTAACCAAATTGCTAGAGACTAAAGAAAACTTGGGAGAAAAAAATGTAACAGAGGTAAGAATGTAGCAAGTTGAACCAAATAACTTGTATATATTAATTTTTTCCCCAAGATCAGTCGATCCAGGAAAACCTATGGTTTAAGCTCACACAAGACCAACACCAGACAGAACCAAGAAGTCTCAGCTATTGGTTATTAGGCTGCTGAGGAAATACATTGAGACTTAACCAGAAGCCCACGTCACCGTACAGTAGGCTTAGAGAATAGCTCTAGAATTTCCAGATAAAACTACAGACAGATAATATGTGCTTACAGTCCTCAGAACTTTGAATAACTTAGGGACACTAACGTTTCTGTTGATACAAATAAATAAATAATAAGGTCTGAGCAATTCAGTTCAAACACAGATTTACCTGGATCTGGAAAGATCCCAAAGAAGTGTTGAATTAAACTGGATTCCTGTATTATACTTCATGCCACTCTATGGGTCTGGAAGTTGCTAAACATCTGTCAGGCCTACATTTTGAAGGCAGTGATAAATTGAAAAAAGTGCTTGTGAACAGCCAATTTTAGCTAAAGAAATGTAAATAGGGGGTGATTTCATACTTGATCAAGAATGCCAGGGTATCTATTACTCAATGTACCATGTACTCTGTATAAGTAGTTCCACCTTTCAGCATAAAACAACAAACCAATGATTACAGAAAAAAAGTCTTCGCCATGGCCAATTGTCAGGCTCATAGCATGTTGCCTGACTTCCCTGTCCTCAATCACCTGGCCCCTTTAGTGGTAGACACCTGCAGTGTGACCACAACACCATGTGTCCTGTATTGCTTCCCTTGTTCTCTCTGTCCTGGTATAAGCCCTGCTTGGAGTTATAACAGACTCACCAGAGCCTTCAGGAACAGCCAGTATGCTGCCAGGCATGTGTCTACCTTGCTTCACACTCTCTTAGTAGCATAACTTTCTCCGAGTCTCTCTGCCTGCACAATGGGGCTCTGACAGTACCTCCCTCCCAAGGACTGTTCTGTATTGAGTCAGATAATGTATGTAAAACATGCAGCCCAGTGCCCAGCATGTATTAAGCATTCAATGAACTTTAGCTTTTTGCCAGTTTTAGGTGGTTCCCCTGCTAACTTAACCTCTACCACTGTAAACGTGTGGGAATTCTGTTTCTGTTTGAGTTAATGCCGCAGCCCTGAAGAGGCACGGGTCAGTGATTACGAGAGCAGCATTCATCTGTGGGGACTGAAGTCCTCTTGCCAGACTTTTAAAAACTCGTTCCAAGTTTTGGAGTTGGTTAGCTACAGATCAGAGCTCACAGACTCAAATGCCTGCAGGTCCCATCAGGTAATATATATGAGTGACATTGGCCAAGTGTTCATCTATTAACATGTTGGACTATTCCTCACATCCACTAAGAAATATGTTCTCTCATATCTCCCTGGAAGCAAGAATCCCCTTCACCCCTGTCCATTTTCCCTTTCACATTTTTTTGAGACAGACGTAAGTACAAATAAAGATTTCTCCACCATAAGAAAGTAACTATGCAAACACAGTAAGACCTCAGTCTAGAAGTTAATAGAGAGTGAGAATAATAGCTATAAACTGGAGTTCCTGTGGCCACGGGGAATGTGGGCCTGGTGTCACCAGTCTTCTGAGTTTTCAAAAGATGTCAGAATTAAATAATAAATTAATTATTAACATTTTTTTTTCCAAAACACTATAAGGCAAAAAAAAAAAAAAAAAACAAAAAACGAAAATCACCCACAAAAAAAACCCCATGATTGAGGACTGAACTCAGCCTGGGGCAGCCAGTTTGTCACCTCTGAGCAAAACAGAGAAATTCCATCCTACTCACTTCTGGGGTGATGAGCGAGCTCTCCCAAACACAGTGACCAGAGTGAGTGGAAGGCAGTGCTGCCCCAGGGGTGACTCACCCTGGAAGACGTCACTAGAGCCCAGGCAGAGCTTGTCACCAATGCTTGTTGTGCCACTGGGGCCCTGTCCCCAGCACCAGTTGAAGCAGCCTCACTAGGAAACCACCTTCCAGTGGCCCTGGATTGGAGCCGTCTGGGTAATGGACTATTAAAGAGGAAACGACTGTGGGCTTGTCCACAGAGCTCATGGATCCGTGCCTGGGTGAAAGCAACCACTGAGGGCATGGAAGTAGCCATATGGCTCCCCTGAGCTTTTATCCCCCCTCCCCCATTCAACAGCTCTTTAAACTAAACCAAAACATTCATCTTCTTTGCAAAGCCCTTTCCTGCAGACAACTCGAGAAAACCTGTAATCAGGGAACCTGTGCAACAGAAGAAAAACGGTTTTCCTTAATTATCTTTCCATGGAAAAGACAGGGCTGTTTGAGAACTTTGTCTAATTTTCCTGATTCCAAGGTAACGACCACCACCACTAGCACCACTACAGTAATTACGGCCAACATTTATCCAGCACTTACTATTCTGTGTCGGGCACTATTCTAAATGCTACACCTCACATCATCTCATTTAATCCTCCCAACAACCGGATGAGGTAGGTGTTTTTATTATTATTCTTTCTGAGATGAGGAGATAGGCACAAAAGGTCAAATAAATTGGCCAGTTTCACCTAGCTAGGAAGTGGTAAAAATCTGGCCTGAAATGCAGGTACTGAGACAAGAAATACAGCCCCTTAATCACCTGGGTGCCTGCTCCTGGTGGAAAGGGTGTGTGTGTGGAGTGGGTGGCACAAATTCTTCAGCAACTATCCTGGAAAAGTGAATGGTGTTGAGGACCCGGAGCAAGAGGATTCATTTCAAGAAGAAGGAGCTGAGATTTGAGTGACTTACCCTTCCCTCCAAATAAAAAGTTTTGAAATCTTTCCCCTTGACTGGGAATCAAAGATGTTAAAGGTAGAAAGGACCCTAGCGAGCACTAGTCCAATCCACTGCCTTTACTTTGGAAGCCTGTGTTTTCACCGAGCTCAGGAGAGTAAATTCCAAGATTCCCCCCACCGGCCCCCTGCCCTTACAGGACCTTCTCCCCGGAAAGGGGGGCGGGGGGAATGGGACAGAGCCGGGGAGAGGGCAGGTGATGAATGTGGACAGGGAGAGATTTCCACGTGGTGGGGAGAGTGTGCCCCCAAGAAAATTCCTCCAGAAGCCTGAAGAGTCCCCCACCTCCACCGTCCCAGGCCACCCTCCCCCTTTACCTCGTAGGTGCTGGTAATTCCCAGTCTGTAGAACACCGGGAGGAAGATCTCCGCGGTGATGACGACCACGAAGAAGTAAGTGACGGCAAAGATGCCGTATATGGCCCCAAAACGGTAGACCTCGGAGGGGGTGCCCAGGACCGTGATCGCCGACATGAAGCTGGCGGCGAGGGACAGCGCCACGGGCACCGCGGTCATTCTGCGGCCGCCCATCAGGAAGTCCTTGGAGGTCTGCTGGCCGCCGCCCGCGAAGGCGTAGTAGACGCCGATGGCGGCCGAGATGAGCAGCATGCCGGCGAACACCACATAGTCCCACACCGCGAAGGTGCCGATTCCCCGCGGCGCGTCCATGGCCCCGGCGCGCAGCCCGAGCCTGGCGCTGTGGCCTCGGCCGCCGGGCGCTCGCTTCTTACTCCCGGCGGGAGTGGCGCCCTGCGGGGACTGCAGGCGTCCCCCGGTGTCCGTCCCCCAGGTGTCTGTTCCCGGCGACTCTGAGCGCCCCGCCAAGGTGGCAGTGGGGACACGGGCTGGCAGTCGTCCCTGCGCCCAGGGCTGCGAGCCGGGCCCCTAAAACCTGGGTCTGGGGCTGAGCGCTCACCAGGTGCGGGACCAGGCGGGGTGGCCGGGATTGCCGGCGCGCGAGGGACACCCAGGCAGGTGAGAACTGGAGCCTCCAGCCACGTCCGGCGAATCCACAGAGAGCGCTCAGCGCAGATTTTACCAAGTGGCACCCGAGGGGACGCACCCTTTAAATGAGTAGGCGACCGGCGGGGGAGTGTGGGACGAAGGGCAATTGTCACGCCTTGCATTTGAGCTTTCCAGTTCAACAGTCCAGTCCGGGTCCTTGCGGGAAGATGTGCCGAGAGTTTTCAGATTGCTTTATTTGATAGGTTAGTGGGTGACAGTAGGTTGATTTGGATGACAGTTTGCAGTGAGCTGAGATCACAGTCCTTAGACAGGTAAACGATTATAAAGGAGAGGGAAAAGTCTGTGCTAGTTATTGGTTGCCTTCGTTTTTATTCAACAAACATTTGTGATCCCCTACAGTTTGTGGTAGAAATGATAGTTGCTGTAATATTAATAATAATTCCTACTGTTTAATGAGCCTTAGGATGTGACACATACATGTTTGGCACCTTTTATTAAAATCATTAATATAATTCTATTGCTCTTGAAAAATGAATTATCTCCATTTTTCAAAAAAGGAAATTGCTTTAAACTGCTTTAAAATGGTTAAGCCACTTACCCAAGGAAATGGTGATTAAGAGTTTTAATCTAGGTCTGATTTCAGAGTTTATTCTCTTAATGATAGTGCTGTACTTTTTAGAGTCCAAATGCAGGTATGTGTTAAAGGTAGGCACAAATGTGTACAATTAAATAAAGACACTTGCAAGCACACAGAAGAAAAGAGCATTTCTTGTATCAGCACTCATGACATATTTTAAGTGGCTTGTCTTGAAATATTACTAATAACATGTGAGTTATGCTCACAAAGTAATATAATTCTCAAGTTTTCCTTCTAAAATGTACATGCTAGACAAATGCGCCCAGCTATAGGTCTGTTTCTGGCTGTCCTTGTTCCTTTTCACACATCTTCATAATTCACCAGTTGATCCTTGGTAAATAATCCACACAATGCATTTAGTCCAGCTCAGTGTGTGAAGAAAGCTATATCAGATTTTATTTTTTGTAAACTGGTTTGTAAAATGTTATTTGCATAACATTTTCAGAAGGAAATAAAGAGGGAAATAGAAGTTAAATCCAAGTAATTCAATCATTTAAACAAATATGTGGTTTGGAATGATGTCCCACCTGTGTGAAATTTACTATATTTATATATTATCTACACATATTTACATATAGTATTTATTTAAAAGAATATATACTTATATATATCTGTGTCAGACACTTGGTCAAGGAAGGATGGGATTTTGAGTTCACGGAAGTTCTAAATACAATGCTATGATAAAGATTGGCTTGGGGGTAAATAATATTTAAAATTGTTAACGAGTCAACAGTTAAGTAAAGTTACATGAGCTGCCTTCAAATTTAAAATTCCATTGGCTTTTTGTCTATGTTATTATAGTAGAAAAACTAGATCCTTCCCTAAATAAGATAGATGATATTACCTATAAAGTACAAATCTTCACCTTTTTGTTTCTCTCCAGAACTTTCCTATTTTAGTTTTATTCCCCTCACTAATCAATGTACTTATAAACATACAAAAATATATCATGTGCTTATTTATGTAATGCCTTATAACCATATAGTTCTTTCAAGTTTTAGAAGTATATTCACATTTAATATTTTGTGAAAAATGGTGGTTTAAATGACAAAAGTGTATATGTACTTTTTTTTCAGCCCCATGTTTTGGAGTATTTTTAAAATGTGACAAAACATCATTTTTCCCCAGAAAAGTAATCAGTGGCCCTTTGCTACATCTGTAGGTCTTTGATACAGATATTGAGAAGAGAGCCAACAGAGCCAAGCAAGTTTCCCTAGAGTGAAATTAGGTTGTATTTCCTATCACTCACTTCCCATTACTGCAAAATGTTTATTTACTAATTATTCTGTAGCAAGGAAACAATTTACAGCATTGCATTATAAGTTATTTAGTATCTTGTTGGAGTAGGTTTCTTTCATAGAAATACAGGAGTTTTTCTGAATGGCCTCTTTACTTTTTTTTTAAAGCGAAGTAGTTAGAGGGAGGCCAGGGAGAATGGATTTATATTAATAGTTGGTGGTAATTATTTCCAAGTGGAGAAAGGACCTAGAATGTGCTGAATTGTGTCACAGCTAATGCAAGGATAGAATCTGCTCCAAGAGCTCTTGAATTTTCACCAGAAAACCTCACCATTCCCACTCATCATGGAACATGCCCCCCGCTTTTCTCTCCCTCACATGGTTCCTTTCACTAATGCTCTCAACCCATCTCCTCCTATTAGAATCTTACTCATCATTTAAGGTGGACTAAATTGTCGAAATTTGTCATGAAATATTTCACTATTCCTAATCCCACCTGCTCCACAACCAGAGGTACTCCCTCTCCTTCTTGGGGCCCCTTTAGCACGTTTATACTCATTTCTTGGCCTTCATAGTGGTGCAGTATTATAGTTGTTTGAATCAAGGCTCTTAATGCAGGAGTATCATCTCATGGCTTCCATGAGGCCAAAACTAGGACTGGAAAGCCACTCCACGTGGCTGCTTTGTTCTTCCCTCTCTCTCTCCAGATGGGTTTTCTCTGCATTGCCACTGGTATTTGGTCAGAAATATCCAAGCCAGTGCTTATATGCCCTTAAATCAGTGGACAGTAGAGACTGATTAGTGCCAATTTTAAATCCCTTAGAGAGGAAATCAAGGGTTCGGCTTGGGTGACATGTACCTGAACTTCTAATCTAATAGGCTGCAGCCAGAAGGGCAGGGTTCCCATTGTGGCTGCCCAGATTCACCCTGTAGGTGGGGAGGAGGGACTAGGTCTCCATGTAAGAGGGTGATAAGCTGGCAAGGCACTCTAACAGGTGTCTCCTCTATTAATCATTTGTGCCATTTTACTGTCTCTTGTGAGAGATCATAAGCTCCTTGGGAAAAGGGACTGTTGCTTGCTCATTTTTGTAAATTCCCAGAACCCAGTACTGTTCATTGTGTAAAGAAAATGCTAACCTTGTTATTGTACTGATGCTACTTTACAATGCCTGTTGGCATTGAGAATTTCCCCAAAATTTATAAAAGTGAAATTTGGAAATATGAGAGTGATCTTATTGGACCCTGAATCTAGGCTTACTCATGTGCTTTCTTATGAGGGGGCGGGGAAAGCCTCTTTTCTCTCATTTTGAGAGGAAAATTAAAGGAAGGTATCCTCCCAACACGATTCCCTACTGTCTGCTCATTCTTTGCCTTGAAATCACAATGACAGTTGCTAGAGGGTTTCAAGAATATCCTTTTGAAATGGCAAAGGAAGAGAAGGGTATAGGATTCCTCTACAGAGTACTTGCTTAATGTCCCTTCCACCTAGAAACCCTGTTTGAGTAACCTGGGAACTTAGAGTGAGTAACAATAGCAGGTGTCATCATATGGCTTGAATTGGGAAAGATGCGAATCACTCAACTCTTAGCATCTCTACCCCTCACGTCTGTTTTCTTTTATTTTGTTTCTTTCTTATCTGGGTCTGATTCTAACCTCCTCAATGGAATCAGTTCTAAGTTGGACCACCAGATACTTTTATTAAGTAATAGAAGCAACTCACTCAATAAACTTGCAGTAGAAGTTTCATCTGATGCCCTGGCGTACTTCCTGTTAGATAATGAGAGCTGTGAAACTCCTCCAGGTTCTCCTTTCAGCGTTTAGTAAGGGTCAACTTTTGTGCAATCACTGGGGTGGTGGGTTTCTCCAGAAAGGAAATCCCCCTAGTCTTGCCTAAGAGAATATAAGTCTGATATTACGCATGCTGGGAGTCTGTTAGGGGAAAGGATGGGTAGGTCCGGGGTGGGGTGTCTCACTATGCACTAGGCAAACTTCCTCTAATCTCTGTTTTCCAGTAAAATGCTTCATTCAAGTCCTTAGTTATGACTGGTGCCCTCAAGCCAGAGTTGTTTTTTTTTTTTTTTTTTTTTCAGTTTAACCTCTCCAGAAAGGGTATCTTTAGTTTTCTGCCAAGAAGTGGGAAGGGACAGTTACTTAGTTGCCCAGCCTAGCAGAGGAGTTTTAGCCTAGTTTTCTGGCACAAATATTTCCTGTCTGTCACTACTTAATTTGGGTTGTTTCCCCTAAATGTCAACCTTTTTTGTTTATGTATCTTTTATTACAAGCAATCTTAAATCCTCTTTTGGATATAGAAAATTATAAACAAAGAAGGAAAAATGTCTAGTAAAATACGCTGATTGTATATATTCCACTAAAATGGCATCAAAGGAATAAAAATGTTGGTTAGCCTATAAGGACAAAGAGAAGGAGAGAGGAGATGACTGCAGAAAAATAACACTATCAATTGTATTCAACACAATTTTGGAAGAACCAATGCAAGAATGAATGCAGATAAACAAGGAGAAATAGACTTTGATTTCGGCTTTCTTCACTTGCTAAATACCTTAAGGGAAGGAAGCCAACAAGAACAAAACAATTCGTACTACATTATCCCCCCACCCCCACAAGAAGTGTCAAAAACCAGAGATGCCATATGTCTTTAAAGGGGAAGATATGGGGTAGAATGAAAAACCCGAAGGCTTTTATAAGGAGTTCTTAGAGACCACACCCTTTCTCCTCTGCTAGGCTGGGCAACTAAGTAACTGCCCCTCCCCCCTTCTTCTTGGCAGAAAACTAAAGATACCCTTTCTGGAGAGGTTAAACTAAAAAAAAAAAAAAAAACAACTCTGGCTTGAGGACACCAGTCACAACTAAG